CATTGTCTAAACATTCTGCAACTCGAATTCGCTAACTAGTTGCTTCGCGGTTTATCGTTCTCAATTTTGTTCTATCATCTATGTTCGTCACACTGCCTCCACCTAAGTCTGATCGCCGATTGAACATATTTGCGATATCAAACACAAGCTTTTATGTCCCCATCTCTGTCTTCTGGGCTGGTGCTGACATCGTTCCGTCCTTCTCTTCTTGGAGTTAATTCCATCCGTTTTCCGGATACTCAGTTTCTGGTACATCCAGCTTAAAGCTGACTCGAGATTCCATTCTTGATCAGACGTAACTCCATTGGAACACCGAATCTCGTTACCCGTCGATGAATGCCTCCGCCACTGGTTCAGTCTCTTGATTAAGGATGTGTATACTTTGGCCATTCATTGAAATGGTCCTGACTACCAAAACATGGCTATTTCCTGTTGTTGAGCAATACGTAGCGGTACTTATGAGTAATCTAGATGATCCGAGGTTATGTAAAGGAACAAGGGTTCGGATTACAAATTTGGAACAAAATATTTTTGAAGTAAATTATTTCAAGCCTCCTAGGAGCATAAAGAGTTCTTTATATACCAACTTCAACCAGTCCCTCCCAGTGAATAGCGTACTTGGAGTTAAACCACTAGCCAAAGCAGACGAAAAGCTCGAATTGGCCCCAAGAATCTAGAGTGAACCTTGTGCAATTTTGTTCTGGATACTGTAGCAGGTTAAACTGCTACTTATTCAGAAAAGAACCTGACATACCAAATATATATTCTGCGTGTGTCCCACATTACTCTAACCTCCTCTTTGCATGCCCAATGAACCCCACGCATCTAACACCCCTCTCCCTATTGTCCGACCTCGTCAAAGAAGCACGTTTCCTGGGCATCCCGTTAGATGACAACTTGAAGCTTACCACCCAAACGGGGATTAGATAACCGTCAAAATAACAGCAATATCATATAGAACTACACATTCAAAAAGTAAACAATATTGACTGCTTATTTCATTAACAAATGGTACTTTTTAATTATTTTATTAAATGTAATACGTAGATAGATAGATAGATTGAATAGAGGTAAGCACCGCGACTTATGGTCTATTGTGTCCTCCCAGAAGTCACAACAACTCACCTAGCCCCAGCACATTGAAGAACTCCAATATACTACTAGGTGCTAGTGAGGCGATGTGATCCCTATTAGAAAACATGGATCCAAGGGCCTTAATTCTGCATCTGCAGACTGCTACGCAGTCTACTAGTAGGTGTTCTGGGGTTTCCGGATCCATGTCGCAGAACCGGTAGTCTGCACAAGAGGCCTATCCATTGGATGGTGCATGCCTTGGAGTTGTTGCCAATATCTCTCCCTGCCTGCTTTTTCCTCACTACGGAGTAGCTCCTTAATGGTGTGCGGACCAACCGCGACGAAATGCTCTGGTCCTACCATTCTTGTGGAAGCTGCAGAGCGGGCTAGCTCGTCAGCCAGTTCATTCCCAGCTATATACACTTCTGCACTAGAAGCGATTTGACCTCATAGGATCCCTTTTATTGCCGCCTGACTATCGCAAAGTATGGCAATGCTTTCATTGCGATAATTACGTTACAGGTTTATCCCTACAGACTGACCTTTAGCTTAGGTTTCCGCTTGGAATATGCTTGAAAAACTTCCCATGAAAATGGAGAATTCGGTACGTGGTCCTGCGACCCCTGCACCAATCCTTTCCGACGTTTTCGAGCAGTCGGTGTACCACTTGATAGTACTTTCCCTTAGCAGGAATCATTCCATTTCTCCTTACTGCCAAGGGCAACTTTGAACTTCCTAGTGAAGCTTACTACTTTGGTAATGCTGTCCCTTGGGAAAAGGGCTAGTGGCATTTCGTCACTTAGAGCCTACATCTGTTGGGACGAGATTACCTTCCCTCTGCCAAACCCTTCTGCTGTCATTAGAAGCAGGGTCTGTTTGGCCATCATTTTGATCACTAAATATAACGTTGTGAGTTCAAGCATTACTTCCAGTGCTGCAGTCGGACACGTACGGATTGAGCCCGACGCGCAGATGCAGGCTAGTCGTTGTAACTTCGATAGTTGAAGTCTCATCGAAGTCTTTGATACTTTAGAGACCCAAGCCACCGCTTCATATGTGATTACCAGTCAATCATGGTGTACATCCATCTTATAATCCTCGGGTTGCAGCCCCAGGATTTCCCAGCAATTGGATTGCACTCCATAAGCGCTTTTGTAGCTTTGACTTAGGTCAGGTCCACATGCTGCTTGCGGCCTAGATACTTGACCGTGTTAACCATCTCTAGCTATCTGTCGCCAAGGGATAGATTTCTGAGGCCCGGCAGTGACCTTCGTCTGGTAAACGGTATGATTGTAGCTTTAGAGGGGTTGATGTTTAAGACAACCCCACTACACCACCCCTTTGCCAGCCCCAATCCCCTTTGTCCAATATCGCAGAGAGTGTCTACGAATTTACATCTGGCTAAGATAACAATGTCGTCCGCATATCCCTAACAGCGGACTCCATTGCTCGTTAGCAGATCAAGAAGTTCGTCCACAACTAGGCTCCAAAGAAGGGGGAATAGCACTCTACCCCGTGGACAGCCTCTTGTTGTGCCCAAACGAATTCTGGTATCGCTTTCGGTGGATTCAGCTATCCTGGTGCGCAGTACGGCTTCTATCCATACCGTACCGGTGCTGCCACATTCTTTTTCTCTAGTGCTCTTGACACGCTTTCGTGTGACGTATTGTCAAGGCACCTTCGATGTCAAGGAAGGCGCATAACAACACCTCGAGCCCATCTAACGAATTACGTATCTCTGAGGTTAACTAATACTAAGCAGTATTATTTGTCTGCCTGCTCTGTAAGCATGCTGCTACGCATGTAGCGGTGCAGCCTTCAGAACCTTCGATCGTATTTCGAAGTCAATGATCTTTTCCATGATCTTAAGTAGCAAGTTAACCTGATTGGCCTGAAGTATTTCGCCAATGTATAGTGTTTTCTTCCTACCTTGGGTATGAAGATCACCTCTGCAGTGCGCCATGGTTCTGGGATATATACCAGCACCAGGCTATCCCTGTTGCAGAAATGCTGGAAGAATGCCATCCGCACTCGGAGACTTATATTTTTCGAAAGAGGTCAAAGCCCAATTGATGGAGTCTGCAGTGAATTGTGACTATGAAATCCAAGCGAGATAGCTTTCGTTCGACAATGGGTCGAATTTGGTCTTCTCGAATTGTCTCCGGGAAATGCGAAGAGCCGTGGCTCTTTCTTCTGCGCTGGACGTATACGTCCCATCCGATCTTTTAATTGCTAGTACTGTGTCCGTCTTTCCTCTAGCCAGAACCTTACGCATCCTTGCAGCCTATGGCGTTAACTAGACGCTTTCACAGAACTTTCTGAAGCTCTTCTCCATTGCTGTCCTAATCTCCTTGTTGTAAGCAGTGAAGCTGCACTTGTAATCCTTCCAGTTCCCGGTACGCTTGGCTTTTTTAAATAGTTCGCTTACCGTTTTTCTAAGTACTGAGAGCTTACTTGACCGCCAAGAACAACTGCGGCTCTTGGTGGTCGCCTTTAGGGGGTAGCTGCTGTGATATGCCTCTGTAATGGACTGGTTTAGCGCAGACAATCTGCTCTCCAGTCCAGAAGCAGTTGCACTGTTGTCCAGCTGCCCCCTCCTTCTGACATTTATTTCAAGCATATCCCTAAAGGTGGCCCAGTCTGGGATACGCCTGGGAGGGAGTTGTTTGACCTCTACCTCCAGTGCGAATCTAATGATGCGATGATCTAACATGGAAGGTTTCGATGACACTCTCCATCGCCCTGTCATAAGTTTGTCACAAAGGTGTGTTCGCATCCCACGTTTGCAATGCTTAAACTCTTACTAACTATAAATTCAAGGAGAGACTCACCCCGTTTGTTGCAGTCCGTGCTGCCCCATTCCATGTGATGGGCGTTGGCGTCGCATCCAAGGACGAGGGGCAGGTTATCTCTCCTGCAGTACTCCACCAGGTTACCGACGGCCTCTGGGGGTGTTGTCTCTCCCGGAAACTAGGCCGCTGCCAGGACGAAGTCTGTTCCTTCGTTGTTCTTTGCCTGCACTGCGACCAGGTCTTGTGGTAGGAACTCTGAAATACAAAAGAAGTCAATATCTTTCCTAATTACTACGCAGGTTCTAGCACTCACTAAAGAGATTCCAGATTACCTTATTTGACTCTGTTTTGAGATCCCTGACCTCTCCTTTGTAGATCCAATGCTTCTGCATCAACAGTATGCCCAGGCCATCCGCTGAGAATCTGCTCGCATTGACAGCCGACTACAGGATCGGATCAATGAGGAACTGGTCCTCATATTCGCGGTCCTGTGCGTTGCCACCCGCTAGGTACGTGAATCCCTCCAGAAACTCTTGCATGCAGGATAGCACACCCCTTGTTCGTGTGTCTTCTCAGTAGGGACCTTCACCTTGGCCTCCGCAGTTGCCGGGTTGAGTCGCACCTTATCTGCCAGCATCTTCTCTTCCGTTTTGTTTTCGGTGGCCGCCTTGGGCTTATAAGGCCTCGTAACCACCAAGCTGAACCTTGAGTTCAAGCGAAAGCTCTTCCTCCGGACGAATTTGTACGATTCGTCGTCTATGCAGAGGTTAAGCCTCCACCCAGAATCCTCGACCTTGTTATTTACTACATGCCAGGCTGATGTACTTAGCCCTTCGTTCTAGTTCTTTATGAGCGCGAGAGCAAACTCGTACGCGCACCTGGGGAGGAACACCGTTACGCTATGCATTGGCGGTATGTCGTCTCCTTTCTTTGCGCAGAGGACGGAGCCATTCCAGCCTACCAGCTTGGGAGCGCTCTCCCTCAGCCAGCTAGCAGATCTCTCCTTGCAGTCAACCTGCAGCATGCCTCCTTTGAAATATACTCCATGGAAGGAGGCTGCATATTCAGATCCTCTGAATACCTCCTCCATGAGTAGGTCTTGGAGCACGGTAAGCTCCTCCGACCCCAGCGTCTACGCCGGGTAGTTTAGTAGCAGTAGCAGTTTCCCCCCCGCAAGGAGGAAAGAGGCGAAAAGAGAACATATATTATAAATTTATGTTGATAAATCCAAATAAATCTGTGAATGCTGCATCATTAATAATATTGTACAATATTATATGCAAACATAAATTAGATATAGTTGTTAAATAACTAATTGACTAAACAATTAGTGGAAATAATTTAATGCTAAAATAATAATAAAATGAAATTTAATGTGTAACAAGTAAATGTTAAGATCAATAATAAATGTCAAAAATAAATATTTCAGACCAAAAAAGAATTACGTAAATAGGTAATTTTGTTAAACCGTAAAATAAAATCATTTCCGTGCTATTTCCAATAAAAATTTTAAATTACACTGTTATTTAAACTTAAACCAACAAAAACGGGCATGTTGCCAATAGCATATATCAGAGTATACCGCAAAATGTGCGTAATGCCCTTAAAACTTGGGTGGAGTAAATATATTACCACTTTTATTTACCCAACCTAAAACAACTAACTTCTTTTAATTGAAACCTATGCTATGTTAGAAATTAATTGTCATTACCAGGGTTGCAAACAATGCACTAAAAAATAATTTAACTAATATTTGAGTAAAAAAATTTTTAGGAATATAATATACAATAAAAATACCGAATAAAAAAATATATCCCAAGCATATAATGAAGAATTAAAAAAAAAAAAGTTTTAAAATTCAAATTTTTTTGGCGTTTGCGTACTTTGTGTTTTATTATTTTGAACTGGAGTTCGCACAGAACTATCTTATTCAATGCTTTAAAACACTGGTCGGCAAACCGACACTTTCGAGCGATTTATATTTTATCAATTTTTAATTCTGATGTTGGGATTAAAAATAAAATTTTTAATTTGACTATTAAATTAATAATTAAATTTTAAGGTTTTTCTGTTAAATTCAAATTTTTGATTTAATCTAGATTTTTCATTTTTAATCCCAACATCGGAATTAGAAAATGAAAATTTTTTTTTAACCCCAACAAAAACTTTAAAATTTAATTTTTAATCCAAGATGTTGAATTTTGAATAAAAAAGAATCGCAACCCTGTTTAATACAAACGTGATATTGTAGTATATACATAAACATTTTCTACATATTGTGAGCAACTATGCTGGAAAGTAAAATCAAAAATCTTCCATTGAACAGCATTTTCTGAGCTCAATTTGTTTATGGCTCTATTCCTGACTTAGAGTTATGAAAACTATTTCATATGTTCTTTAAATAAGAGTCTTAATACCAATATACCCATCTAACACAATAAATTATTTGATTTATCATATACTAATAAGTTTCTGGCATTTTTGGTACCTCCTATTACAAATGACAAAATGTAAAAGTCGATAACAGATGTATTTAGGTATGCATAGAAAAACTATTTTATTATTTGTGTCTTTGACAAAAATGCTTTTGAAATTGGGATAATTAAGATTATTATCCTGATGTGGTTGTTGCGGCCGAAAACATCCTTAGCAAAATTTTGAAGAATGCTGCCGAGTTAATAGTCCTTGGTCGGATAAAAATCCGGGTCCGTTCCGGTTCCGTAGACCCGACTGCCGTGCCTATTTTAATGCTAGAGGTCAGATGTTATGAAGGTTTTCAAGAAGGAACTATCGGGTTCTCAACAAAATGAAATACTTAATTTCTCTGGCTACGAAACCTTAAGCAAATGTTTCCTTGAGAATTAGAACAATCCAAACAAAGTTAGGTCCCCGAAATAACAACCCCTGGCCGTATAAATTCCGTTAACGAAGAACATGCTGTTGCGAGAATTGCACTGTTCCTTCTGGACAACGTATTTGCTTTAATATCAACAAATCTCTAAAGCAACGAATTGGGAAATGATTTGCACTTTGTTTTTATATGGGCTACTAAATCGTTACATATTTTGTATAATTAAATTGTTACAAGTCGATGCCTGCACATATAAGATATTAAGAAATAACTTATTTCAGTAATAGCATAGTAATAATCAACATTTTAAACGCTAAACGGGGTCACAAAGTTTGTAACACCGGAGACCCTATAAAAAAATATATATATGAATGATCAGCATGACGAGCTGAGTTAATTTAGCTATGTCCGTCTGTATATACCTACGCGAACTAGTCCCTCACTTTTTGAGATATCGATAGATGGAAAACTTTTATATTTGACAAGATATCTTCACGAAATTTGGCTCGAATAATTATTTATAAGACAGTTGTTCAGATCGGACCACAATAGCATATAGCTGCCATACAAACTTCGATCAAAATCATTTATCTGATGCCTAAGGACAACAATAGTAATTGTACTATACTGTATATTATAAACAACAACAACTCATCTGGTGCTAAAATTTATCCGATAGAGCTTATAAGTCCTATTTCCTACCGAATTCTTCGTGCATAACAAGTCTTTGAAAGTGCCTACCTCGGGCATGATGCACACGCACTTAACATCTCTCCAGTTGTGCAATAAAACCAGTTTTAATTTGATGACTTAATTTGATTAAAATTTTACTGGCGAAGTCTCCGCCATATGTAAATTTCACAGAATGACCACTTTTGTAACCAACGGACAATAACAATACCAAACGCTCCCTTGAGCTGACAACCAACGTAACACAATTCCCACGACAACCAGTTTTACGTTATCGGAATCCAACAAGAGCTGTATTTTCTGTTTTGTATTCATTGAGCAACACCTAAAGAGGCTGATTTTCAGACCTTAAGACACACAGTGAGTGAACCACAGATTATGTGGCACATACTGTCAACACACTACTGACATACCTAGTTCACGTACGGCGCCATACCTCCCACTGAGTTGCTGTCAAATAACCTTAATTATAATGATCAACCCTTGCTCCCCCAACCTTCTTCCAGCTCTAATCATGGTTCGAGAACTGTGAACTCCTGGTCCCTCGCACAGTCGGTTCCGTGTGTCAGACCGTAATATATCGCAACATTGCAATTAATGCTTTGTCTGATATCATTTATAGCGTGTTATGCCCTGCTCACCATAAGTAAGCCGAATGTGACATAAGTTGCCCCGTTGGAGTCGCCAAACAGCACCACAGTGCGACCACCTACCGACCGGTGGTACTGCAGCAGCAACGACCACTACCTGTACACAACTCCTACATACTCATAGTCATTACTACTTCACCGAGACATATATTTCTAATAGTTTAACTACAAAGAACTGAGTAACATCCAAAATATAGTTAATTTAATATATCGATAGCTGCGGACCAAAAAAACCAAGCAACACAGCTACTCGGATTTTGTGAGTTGTGCCGATTTCAAAGTTATACGTATGGCGAGCGAGAAATTGGTTGGCGCCTACCTTTCAACCTGTACACTGTGTCGTCTCATCGATGACGACATTGACCGCAGTTACACTAACCTTGAATGTCAGGGCGAAAAATTTAACATATACATACATCGGTAAATGTTCAAAACAGCGGCTTTTTTGAAAGAACTATCCAATTTTTTCGGAAAATGTAAGGGCTATATTAAAAAATAAAAACTTGGTAAGGTAAGGTTAGGCTGGATTTTTAAATATAAAGAAAGGTAAGTTTAGGCTACAAAAGAACCAAAAGAAATAAATATAATACGTCAATGGCAGGAAATAAATAAAACATTATTAGTTTTCGCGTAGATAATAACCCAGGTCGATCCAACACCGGGGTGTCATAAAAACAAAAAAAAATCTTGTTTTCAACCGCATGCGTCCTATTTTTTGGTTAAGTGCAATTTAAACACACATTTGAAGATATTTTCCTAAAAAAATTTACCATTTTTTCAAAAAAGCCGCTGTTTATAACAATTACCTATACATCCCCCCTATTATATGTTGCCCAACAGGATATTAGCCGAACATAACTGCGCTACTACGTGGTGAAAACCGTTTGATACAAGCCGATTTTAACGCGCACCACGATCTTTGGCAGTCCAAATGTCATTCTTCTCAATCTAGATCACCCGAATTATGGACACATGTAGTACCTTTCCATTTATTACCACCGCTAGCCAGGTTTGATAAATCAATTCCCACAACAGCCGGTTCTGCGATACCGGAATTGACCCGGATTTTATCCGGCCAAGGGATGTTATTTCGGCGATCTAACCCTGTTTGGATCGGTGAGTTTTAGATTAAGTTTGTCGTCATTGGAGCAACGCCCAGCAGCAGGGTTGCTCCGTATCCTCCTAACCCGTGCTGGCAGCCTTTTAGCGCAAACCCAGCAGTAAAATTCTTACAATTCAACTGCAACGGACTCCAGAGTAAGATCGAGGAGATAGTTGTATTCATGAGCCGGGAGCGCGTAACGATAGCTGCGGTCCAAGAAACCAAGCTAAACAGCCGCTCAGATCTTCTGAGTTGTGCAGGTTTCAACGTTTTACGTAAGGATCGCGAGCGAGATAATGGTGGAGGCCTAGCCTTCATATTGCACAACACCGTGCAATATCGTC